ACTGCAAAAGAATCGCACATCTTAAGAACTCGAGAGACCAAGCCTGATCCTAAGCTCACACTAATCATAATTTAGACCAGTGGAGGCATCGTGTACTGACGCTGAATATGCTTCCAGCTAGGCCAAGGTTCCACCGGGTCCAAAGAGGTTAGGCTCAGCAATTTCCATTTTTGTATCCAGGCATCATGAGTGGTGCATGTACGATTCTCATCGATAAGCCTGCCTCTGCTTATAGGCTCCGATGAGGCCACTCCCGAAAATCTGATGAATGAATCGCCAGCTAATATGGTCGCCATCTTTCGGGGAAAATCTTCAGAGAAGTGAAGCGGAGAGCCCCTATGGCCAGCAGCACAGTTGTCGGGCCCAAGCATGGGCGGCGCAATGGATTGGCGTTGAAGGCAGCTTTCTAATGCTCCCTGCCAGACCGCATCGTATTTCATTACATTGATGACGTATTGCACGTAGTCGAAAGTGCCATCGAATATGAGCGAGAATGCGCCTGGAGGCATGCCGGCTGCAGGTAGTGCTAGAGCTTCGTCGATCCATATTGCCACGGTTTCGGTAATCAACGGTCGCGGCATACGTGGACCGCGCACGCTATAGAGGCTCAGCTCTCGGGCTATGTCTCGACCATTTGAATAAAACCCTGGTAGCACGTTTTGCCATAGGTCTACATGCCGCTTGACACGCATATTCGGATTTTCGATACAATATGGTATCAGTGCTTTTGCATGACATTCGGTATAGCCGGCGCCTATGTGGGTTTCGTGTAGTCTGATCTCTCTCACTGCGATCCGCAAACTGCGGGGAAGGCTGGCCAGGAAATCTGCAGCCAACGCCGCGGCGGAAAAGCACCGTCTATAACGCGTGCTGCCGTCTGAAAAAACGCCACGAAGACCTGGAACTGTCTCTTCAATCTGATCCAATTCTGTATCGGTTGGTACTTTCCAGGACTGACATACTGGATGTGTCAATGTGTCTATATGCTTCGCGTGTTTGGCGAAACAGGGGTGCTTAATGAGATTACCCAGTGCGTGTATGAAACCTGGGAAACCTGGTTGTCTCTGGACTTGTTGAAGAACGTATGTGATTAGATCCCGATGCTCGGATGGTACTGTTCCCCAATCTTTTGCTTTGCTTGGCGTTTCCGGGTAACTGCGCCTTCGGTTCGTCAAGACCGGTAAGAGCGAAGTGCAGTAAGGAAACGCTATCGTCGCATCTTCAATGATCTCTGCCGTGATGTACGGACGACAGTGATTCAACAGCTCTAGTCTTCTCTGATGCAGATCATGTACCATGGCATGGAAGCGGGAGGCTCGAGAGACTGTGGCGGGGTTGTCGTTCAAGGACGCTACGAAGTCAATAGTGTTATGGCGGAACAGCATACCGCTCAGTTCCACAGCAGCTTGCTTGCATACGTAAGTAAGATTGAGATCGATCGCATCTCCGTTACATGTTCGTAACTTGGCATCATCGGGAAAGTATCGTAGAGGTTCGCGTTGTGTGACGTAGAATTCATATATCAGATCGCGCAGTTCGCGAGGTAGATGGAACAGCTCCATAAAGCTTGGGAAGCGTGAACCGGCAGTAAGGGGGTTTTGATGCGAGAGACCTTGGAAGTTTCAAATTTATGTGTTGCACCCAAGCAAATACTTTTGTTTGGGCAGCAAGACTGGTAGGACGGTAGCACGATCAAGGCGCCGAGAACGTGAAAAAATATGCCGGCTACCAGGCGGCCGGTGGAAGAAAAAGCGCACCCGCTGAGATGAGGGCTGGATGTGAGTACCGTGGTACAAAGTAGGCTGATAGGTACCTACTCTCACTCTGTGCAAGGAAAACACCTGCTAGAACTCAGCAATCTAAAAGTCTACGTTGCGTTTGGATTAAAGTAAGCCTTTTTCCTTGCTGGTGTAGACCACAGTCATTCGATGAATTTTTGTCTTGTATGAGATATCCGCAAAAAAGAGGGTTTGATGATCAAGGGGACACTAAAGATCCCTTGGGCCGAACTAACCTTGGAAGGTTTCCAAAGGTTCCAAGGTTATCATCAGTGTAAATACCAGCATCAACGAATGGTCATCGAGCAATGTAACGTCACCGTGGTAGTCAAGCGTGTCTGGCCTCCTTCCACTGGGGTGTTTTCAACTGCAAGGGTTGGAAATATGGGCCGCTACGGTAGATCATACGAAGGCTACCATGATAGGTACGCTTTGGGTCACATGATCGGGCTGTTGCCTAGGTGTTCGCACATCACAAAAGTATCTTCGCCCAGTCCCACTCCAGCGACAAACCGTTACATGGTACTTCCTCCAATCTCTCGGCAATCTACAAGCAGAAGCCTTATCCTTTCCTCATCACTCATTACTACAAACCCACCAAACATGAATACACTTGCACACGTCCCGAGTGGTCCCAAAGACATCCTTTTACAGCCTCAATCCAGATTATTCGCGCTTCCGCGTGAGTTGCGTGATCTGGTCTATGAGTACTATCTTATGGCTGCGGATGGGTATCATTATAATCATGAGACAGGGAAGCTGACACAGATTGGGGGCCAGCCTATAGACATCGCTCTTACCTACACTTGCAAACTGGCAACTGCTGAGATAAATGGTCGCGCGCTTACTCTAAACGCCATCAAGTTCACCACAGCTCATGACGAAGGAATCCGCGACCGGGCAGGACAGTACGCACTGATCGTACAAAGACTTGAGGCTTTGAAGTCAGGCATACTTTGCGCTGTCTATGAATGCATCGAATCATCGACCAGCAGCGAGTTTGAGCCCGAATTCTCGTATCTTCTACCCGTCATCAGCCAACTTCGGACGTTGGGAGCGGACCACGAACTCGCTCATAAGAGTTGGGGCGAAACCCCCTCGCTTCATCGCCGATTTGTCGTACGAGCTCTGGAAATCCTCTCCGAACACACGAATTTCAGCGAAAGAATCACTAGCGACGTCAATATAGGGTGGTTTGGCGATCGCGTCCATGAGATTCTCTCGCTAGATGACTCGCCCTGGAACACACCAGATAGCAACGAGATAGCCAACATGTGGCGCGTTCTGGACGATGAACCAATGTTCCTTGAGATATGGGAAAGAACTAAACACAGATTCTCCGCGGCAGCGACAGCGATACGGTTCCTTTCGTCACTGCCCAAATCTACGCGATGTCGCATTCGTCGTGTGCTCTTGGACGAGGACCGCGTGTCAGTTGCTTGGCCTGAGTGCCACGCCCAGGGGTTGATTCCCTTCTGTCAGGAAAATGGCGCGCTTCGAGTGGAGCGACGAGTTGATTTGTGGAGAAACGCACTTCCTGCTGGTGCCGAGCCGATAAATTGCGTCGCCAGTGCAGCAAGAAGTCATCATCCTCAAGATCGTATGGATCGTCTGCGCGCTGGATACATCACAACCCCATGCTTAGCACCCTGGATCATGGAAGCACTCGCCCTTGACGGTCTGGGCATGCCACCTCAATGCTTCAAGCTGAAACTCGATGGACAGCCAACACCAGAAAGGAGCTCCGAAGTTTTCAAGGTCGTGCAGCGGGACGCCGCATGGCAAACCGCCTTCGAGAGAAATTTCGCAGAGCAACACAATACCCCCAGCTGGTTCGAAATGAGGGGTAACAGAAGCTACCAAATGAGAGGATTTCCGGAGGCCATCACAGCCATCGTCCGAGGAACATCGATTGTTAGCTGCAACTTCAATACTGATACTCCAGAAGACCCGGATACTATAGCGCAGGATGGACGTCACTGGACGATGGGTGAATGGGAGCAGCAATGGCGTATGCACGAACCCCGCGCGTTCAATACCGCAGCGCCATTGCCTGGCTGGGAAAGCCTTCGTCTTTCAGAGGAGGCATTGCCGGAATGACTGTGTCGCGATGTAGGATGGATCAGAGCCGTCAGCAGATGCTCAGGTAAGATATCGACAATTTAGGTCTTCAGGTACAATAGGGTCGAAGAGACCCCAGGACGTTCTGTTCAGCCCAAGCATGGCGCGTATAGCTTCAGTCCGCTTACTTACAACGCCCTCAATACTTACACACATACCCCAATCAGTTATCAGTTGGATCATCTTCCGTCTATCTTCCTGGTGACTCTTTTTAGACCGTTGGTAACCGACCATCGATTGTTGCGAATTCTATTTCCCAGCGACCATCCCCCAAAGAGATGTAGGGCTTGAGTCAACAGCGCAAAACAAGCGTAGATTCTGATGCGCGTTCAGAGTGCATCGTTCCGTCTGCGATCCGTTGGTGCATTACGTGTTAGAGGCTTCAATGTAGTGTGTTGGACATGGGACGGTACCTAAATTGGCCCTCTCGCTAGCTAGCCTGGCACGTGCCTGGGCGCCTGCCGCGCGATCTCCGCCTGAGCGTCGGTGTGCTGCCACACTGCCCATACGGCCACCCAACAACTCACCATCACCACAATTTGACGACCTCATCACACCTTGATGGACCCAGTCAATGCTATCGAACGCGCGCGAAACGCACTGCCCATCGACGTCTTCTAAAGCTGCGCGATTGGATGCCTGACCCTTCAACCTGTTGAATGGTGAGGTCACATTCACAAGGGTATTATCGCAACCATTCGACAAGCATGGTGCGCCCAAGCTGCATAGCCTGAAGAGATCTATGAAAACCAGCATGATACACATCATAAACAGCGGGATTACGTACAGCGTGACGCTACCTCTGGCTGAGCTGCAGGGCTCACTTCCTAAATAGTAGACGAGTTCCGCGGTACCACCAAGGCAACCCCATAACTAGGCATCTTCGTGCGCACGAGTGCATTGTTTCCGGATAACTTTGCAACTACCGTTCCAATACTATAAAGAGCTTGACCCCCCGGCTTACAAGACAGTCTCACTTCCCACATCGTTACGCCTTCCACGGTATCTCCCAGACTCGCCAGACCACGTCCATCGCACCCCGATCGATTTACCTCCCGCGTCATACAATACTACCTGATTCGAAAGCGATTTACACGAACTATGACGATTCTGGAGGGCTTCCGCAGGCTTCCGCGCGAGCTTCGAGACCAGATCTACGAAGAATACTTCATCCTTCAGGGTGGGTATCACTACAACCATAAGACCAACAAGCTGCTTACAGCGAAGGGCAAGGCTATCGATCTCAATCTGAGGTTGGCCAGCCGTCAGACAGCTGCTGAGACTCGCGGGCTCGCGCTCAAGCTGAACACAGTTAACTTCTCAACTGTATACGACAGCGACCTTAACCAGAGAGCCGGCCACTTCAATTCTCTTCTGAATCTGATCAACGAGTGGAAGGGACGATACTTGCTCCGTGAAGCTCCCCGGTCCGGCTTATTCGATGATCAAGTACGCTCACACGTCGAAGAGCATCATACACACTTTCTTCCTGTTCTAGACGCGTTAGAAGCAAATAATGTCACCAACAGAGACATTTATGCGTGGAAGGAGGCCCCATCACGATCGCGACACTTCGTGGAGTCGACACTCGAGTTCATGGCCGCACAGCCGCATTTTCACGATACTGTGAGCCAGGCCTACCATTGGCACGGGACAAACGAACATCCTTGGCCCGATCCCCTTCCTGTGATAGCGCACTACCAGGTGCCGTGGATACTACCGAGTGAAGAAGAAGTCGCCGCTATGCGCAAACTAGTCTCACCACTTCCCATTGTGGCCACCCGCTTCCAACAGTGTCAATATTGGGAGAGAGAGAAGTACAGGCTATCCGCAGCGACTATGGCCATTGTATTTTTAAGTTCTCTCACACGCAGCACGCGGCTCGAGATGTGTGAAATGATCTTGCTTGAGGATCATGTCGCGGTTGCGTGGCCCGAGTGCCACATGCAAGGCTTCATTCCGTTCTGTCGTGAGAACCCTAACTTGCACATAGAACGAAAAGTGTCCCTCTGGAGAGCTATGCTACCTGCCGCCTCCGCGTCCCTCTACGCGATGTCGACCTTTTCACCCGCGGATCAGCGACGAGGTAGATACCACTGCATAGCCCCGCACGCAGTCAGCCGAGGGAAGTTTGGTTATGGCGGCGTGGTGGACTGGATAATGGAAGCGCTGGAACTGGAATCTCTCGGGATGCCATCGGGCTCTTTCACCCTAGTCATCGACGGCGAACCCACAACCGAGGCATCAGCACAGATCTTCGACATCCTACAGCATAACGCTGCATGGCAGGCTGCTTATGACCTCTGTATTCACGACTCGACAGTTTGGCCAGTCCCGCTTACCTGGCTGCAGAGTCGGAATCTTGATGCATACATTATGAGAGGATTTCCTGATGCCTTGAGAGCAATCAGTGATGGTAGGTCGATCGTCAAATGCAACATCGACACCGGGCTTGTACATGATGTGAACCAAATTATTGCGGATGGTCGATCATGGACCCAGAGAGAATGGCATGAGAACTGGTGGACGACTATTCAACTCCACGGCGACATACACACCAGTGAACCACTGCCGAGCTGGGTTGAGCTCCGGATGGAAGACATGTTGGAAGAAGAAGGAATGGACTGATCGCATGCATGCGCTTTCGTTTTGTGCTGATACTGGCGGCTGGCTTCGTCTCCAGTCTTAATAGCGGCCTCACCGTACCTTCATCTGTCAAGCAAGTTCATGAGAGCAGACTAGTCATCAGCAATAATGCCAATCAATATGCGTTCACTATTCGTCCACCGGCTTGATCGAAGCTTCGCGTTTATTAGGATATAGGCTATCACGCCTCATAGAAGTGCGCATGTTGAGCTCGGCCTCCCTTCTGGCTGCATGCTGCATATTCATCCGCAGAGCCTCTCCTTCTCCGCTGCGGTTGCTGCGATTGTCACAGTGGAAAGACTCCGCACGACCCAGGTAATATGATAGCTTTATAATAGCCTATAAATTCACACATATCTTGAATATGCTTACACGTCCAAAGTTATACATTCTGTGCGATAGTAGGCTTCAAAGTAATTGCGTCTATGGCCTTGCTTTTTTGCACACCTGGGCAGGGTGGCACCCGAATAGCGCTCTCGGGTGTTACAAATAGGGCCCGATAACTATGATCAAACACGATGACAACACGTGGTAGACAGCAAGATGAATGCTCAGACATCAGATATGACTCATTTGTTCGCCGTCTCTAATCTATCATCTTTTCCCGCCACTCTCTTGTCCATTCCCCTTCTCCCATCTCCCAAATCCGCGTGGTGTCATTCTGGGTTGGACTACCCAGTCTCTTGCACATCTTCATGTTACTCAACATCGTCGTCGTACTCAATATCGGCATGCTCCGGGTAAGCCAACGAAACTTCTATCGGTGTATGGTCGTTTGGATAGCCCGGCACGTCGATGACAATGGGATCGTTCGTTGCTTGCGATACCTGCGCGTTTGGTACGAATGTCAGATCAATGACCGCCTGATATGACGGCCACTGATCGGAGGTGTTGATCTCGGTACGACTAGCGTTCCATTCACTCCCCCAATCATCTAGTGCCCAATGGAAATGCTCTTCTGGCACTTCGTTCTCGTCAGGCAGACTTCCGATAGGAAAATTGCACCTGACCATCGAGGTTCCATTGGCTACATCCTGCATGGCCCGAGGGAATCCAGCCATGATGAACGTCGGACTTGTTCGGATGATAGCTGGGTGGAGTAGACCACCAGGATTGGTCGATGTGCGTCTCTCAAGCGCAGCTTGCCAAGCTGCGTCTTTCAGGGCAACATTGAGGACTTGGGTAGCGCGCGCTGGGTTCGTGCCGCCGATGAACGTCAATTTGAATGCACGTAAGGGCATACCAAACTTCGCCAACGCGATTGCTTCCATAAGCCAACGAGCAATGTACTGACTACTTGTGGTCGCCATTACATTCCACGACGTCTTGGACATAATTCCATATATCGATTCGGCGATCGATGCGCAAATGTCCGTTCTCTCGGCAGAAAGGTATGAGCCCTCGAGCGTGACATTCAGGCCATGCGATAGAGTCGTCGTCTTCGTCCAGTACAATCCATCGTATCTTCTTCCTCGCTTCTGGGCGAAGACGCTTCATATATCCGATAGCAACGGCAGCAGCTGAGAACCGGTTCTTGTCTTCTGCGAAGAACTCGTTCATGCCGTATGCAGAGCGGGCATATGGTCGCAGCTCGTCTGCATTCCTTTGCAGCTCGTCGAGTTCGTCGTCGGTGGGAATCAGCCACGGCTCGATTGCTTGGCCTTGTGAAGTTTTCAAAAGGCTTTTCAGATAGATATGCGGCATTTGCGGCGGGTCTGTAGCCGAGCCTGGGCAAAATCGCGGCCTTATGGTATCCAGTGTTGATGCAATGAAATCGCGGGTGATAGAAGGGACTTCCTTCCACTGTTCTCTATACCGGTCGACATCCGTGTCACGCAATGTCTTTGCATGATCAAGGAGGGGTAGGAACTGGGCGTGGTTTGTTCGAACGTAGTCACGGGCGGCGTCGTCATACCAATCTGACATCGTGAGCAGCCTTCGTAAAGCCCTGTCTCGCGTATTGGACAGCTCGGTGAGGAGGTGACGGATCTGCGAGTAATTGGGCTTCGTCATAGGTAGCGCAACCGTGGTGAAATGTATCTCGTTGTATTTGAACACGAAATCGCGCGTTTCTTGCGCGATGAGCTTGTTTACTGTCCTGAGTGCCATTGCGTTCTTTTCCTGATGCGATGCGACAAACTTGTTGGTTGCTGGATTATAAGTGTAGCCATCTTCAAGCCTGAAATAGTATCCATAAATCTCTTCTCGGAGTTCTGCGGGCAGGCCAACAATGCCCTGCTTTGCCAGCACTGAAACGTGATTGATTTCGTGAGCCATGGTGGTCGTAGGTCGCGGAGGGTCGGAGAATGCGTTGCGATGGTGAAGTTGCGGAGAGGCGAGGCAGCTCGGCAAGATGCGATCATTGATGTGGGGTCGTATCTCATAACTAGCGGGACGCTACGGTGGCATTTAACGAGGTTGGGGAGCGGGCTCCTCACCTACAATTCCGGTCCAAAACTTACCGGGTCCACAGCCAAAAATCATGTCTGATGCAGACGACGGTGTCAAAGCGTCTGATTCGCTCTCCAATAGCTACCTCGGCAGGCTACCACAGGAGTTGCGAGACGAGGTTTACAAGCATTACTTCACGACGCGTGGTGGCTATCGCATCGATCCCATCACGAACACTTTGCGTGCAGTTGATGGAAATCCCATTAATCTATCATTGAGATCAACATGTCACGCGATCGCGAAAGAGACGGAAGGGTTAGCGCTCCAATGCAACACCATCCACGCCACGACTACCGAAGAGAAGCGCTTCGCAAAGGCAACTTACAACTCGTGGAGAGTAACGAAAGGGCATTCCTTCGATCGTCACAGGGCTCTGGTGAAGCTCTCTAAGTGCATTACCCCAAGTGTAGCCGATGAGATCCTGGAAGGGTTCCCTCAGTATAGGGACGCACTGCAGGAGTTGATAGCAAACAGAAATAGGGAGGGGCCAGGTAGGGAATACATGCGCTGCACTCCTCCCACAGCTACAGAGCCCTGGTCTACGGAGCTGAGATTCGTCTCACGTGCCGTGAAAATAATGAAAGAGCGCTTGGATCTCCCCGGAACACTCTTCAGAGCTATAAGCCAACTGCATTTCTGGGTGCTATCAGAGACCGATCCGGAGCAGCAAGCGCCCTGTTGGGAATTCCAGAGGAAAACGAACCCTTTCGAAATCGCTTTCAGCCGGATCGATGGAAGGCCTGTTATGAAGGAATATAAACCGTCATCCTGCTTTTCCGCAGCGGCCGTAGCAATACGATTCTGGAACGCCCTCGACCCGACGACCCGCAGGCAAATCCGACACTTCGATATAGACGAGGAGAGGCGCTCCAGATTCTTCCCAATGTGCCATGCGGAGGGCTTCATCCCGTTGTGGCAAGAGAACCCCAAGCTTCGCATCAATCGTCGCGTCAATCTCATCAATACTATTGTCGAAGAAGCTCGTCAACCTGATAGACGGGCTTGGCATCGGGAGCACGCGCATCATGCAGACAGTAGGTGCTGTGGAAGCTCAAAGCTCAAGATTAAAGCTGACAGGCGCACAGAATTAAAAACACTTTGGGATTGGATTGTCGAATTCAAAGCACTACATGCGGCATTTGACATACCCAAAGGAGCTTTCGGTCTCTCCTTCTATTCTGACGCGTCGCCTGAAGACACTAAAGAGATAGCCAATGTCATTCAAGAAGCGGCAGCCTGGCAGATGGCGCTCGACAAAGTAGCGAAGAGCGGAAACGCAGGTAACATGCATGCTCTTGGGTTCAACTACTCTGATTACCTTTGGGACCCACGCGGGCTGGCGTGGCAGGAGTTGCAGGATGTATCAAAGGGCTCCTCGATGATCAAGTGTGACTTTGACATGGGTCAGTCTGTGGACCCAAAGGACTTGTATGATGGCAGTGATCGCTGGCCGCATGAGAGATGGAATAGCCACTGTGCTGTGAATGACTCCAACAGTTGGCGGCTTACGTGGCAAGTACGATAACATCTATTGGGCGCATTTCACGATATCAATGAAGCAGATCACTACCAGGCACAGAAGTAGTGACAAATGCGACATCCTCCATTAATCTTTCAACTAAGCGAACCTTGCATCACGTATTTGTCACATCACATCCCCTAAAGGTCTACCCTACGACCCCCCAAACCCCTTCTCCAACCCCCTCAGCCAAATCCCCGCAGCATACGCCCCCGGATCAGGAATCTTACTCCTCTCACTCCCATCCTCACTAATATACGTCGCACGTCCAAACTTGGCCTTCATATCCTTCGTACTGTCCGCCTTCTTCTCCGCGACATCTACACTCTTGCTCAGATCCTTACTTTCAGCCAACGTGTTGATAAACGGAATCAACACGTCCATGACCGTTCTATCGCCTTCCCGTGCACTAGTATAGTTTTTGAGGTTCTCGAGAGCGGCGGAGGCGGAGGAAGCGAGTGTAGAGATATCCAGCGGTGCGTTTTGGGATAGTGTGGCTTTTGACAAAGCGTTTGTGAAGGCGGTGACGAGGATAGAGAGGATGGCGCCGAGGGAACCGCCGACATCTTCGACGTTCTCGCCTATGCTTTCGAGGAGGGCGAGGATGGGTGGTGGGCTGCTTTCTACAGAGTCGATGTTGGCGAGGATGGATTTGCAGACGCCGGCTACGGCTTCGCCGCAGTCGCCATCGCCCATTTGGAGGTCGTATTGTGTGATAGTGGGTTCGGCTGCGAGGGCGTCTTTGCAGGCTTGACGGAGCGCGGGGATGAAAGATGCTGGTGTGGCGGGCCCCTTGTGGAGGAGGGATTTGTCGGCTGCGGCGGCGTTGGCTTTGTTGCGGAGCTCTTCGGTTTCCTTGTTGATGTTTAGGGGTTGGTAACCGTTCTTTGGCCATGCTGGGGCGTTTGTGGGTGCGTCCAGCAACTCCATGACGTCCTCGTCTTTAAGGTCCATGGCCTTTGCCATTCCGCTCATGTTGCCAAGTGTGATGCTGAAGCCCTGGGCGTTGAGTGATGTCTCCAGCACGCCGGCGTAGATGCGTGTTGGCACGATCTTCCAGTCGCGCTTCAAGGCTATCAGGGCGAGGTTCACCAAAGCGTCGAATTCGAGGTTTGAGAGGCCTCCGAAGTTGTTGACGAGCATGACGACGTTGTCGTTGGGGTTGAAGGTGACGAATGCGCGGTCGGAGTCAGAGGAGTCGAGAAGGTAGCGGAGCATCTCTTTGATCACGTCTTCGGGACTGGGCATCGGGGAGATGGTTCGTAGGCCCTTGGTGAAAGTCAGTTTGAGGCTCTTGGGAAGGCGGAAGTAAGCTGATGAAACTTACAGGCTCATTGTGAATACCCATACCAACCACACAAGCATCGTCCTGCACACTCTCGAACGCCTCTCGACCCGGTACGTGGCAATGATCCAGACTCGTGCCAATAGTGACAAGCTGGGAGTTGCCCAACTCACCAATCTTCCTACACCGCTCGAAAGCCCAGCCTTTCTGTGATGCAGCACCAGCAAGCTTGATAACCAGCAAGTTACCAGCCAGTCCTCTCCTTCCTACCTTGCCGCTTTTTTCGCGGCCCAAGGCAGCGTCTTCCGCCATGCACACAACGTCGACTTTGTAGCCAAGTGCTTGTCCCTTCTCTCTGGCAAGACCGAAGTGGAGCATATCTCCAGTGTAGTTTGTTATGCACAGTATGACGCCCTCATTACTCGGCACGTTCCGTATTCCAGCCATGATCTGCTTAGTGCTGGGAGAAGCGAAGATGTCACCGCATACAGCAGCTGACAGCATGCCGTCGCCAACGAAGCCGGACCATGCCGGCTCATGCCCTGAGCCACCACCGGATACGATGGTGACTTGATTCGGAGGGTGTGAGAGGTTGTAAACGACGCGGTTGGCCTCATCGAGCGCCATGTGGGAGTTGCGCGTGCATAGTGAGCGCAGGTTGTGGAGGACTACGCCTTCTGGGTTGGGGAAGAAATGCTTTCTTGACATTGCAGCGGTTCGTATGGATATGTGTAGTACTCAAAAATCTGAAGGTTGTTAGCGACTGTAACGTGTTTGACAACCGTAGTGTGAAGCCGGAGGCTGATGGAGAACGTACCTCAATTCAATCACGTATGCCAACGTGTACACAACTCGAAAATAGCGGAATTGGATCCAAGAAATCAAGACACGCGGCGTACCGCCAATTCAGCCGGGCATCGTGCCTTTTAAACAAGTCCCCCGCATCCCCCGCCTCGATCAACATCATGACCATGAACCCCGCTCGTGGACACCCCGTCAACTCAATTTTTCGGTGCCAGGTATTCAACACGCGTCTAGAAGCCTAAAAACGCGCTCAAATTAGCCCGAAACGATGTCAGAATGATATGCTAGGCTTGGGTATACTGCATTCAGATAAGTGGGCTGCTGGAAGCTGGAGAGAGGGTCGTGTTTGCGCCGGGGTTGCCGCTTTGGGGATGCCGGGCGGAAGCTTGGCTTTTGTGGAGGAAGCTCGCATCGGTCGGAGCTCCGAGAGCTATCAGGTCGGCGCCTCGCGACGAGACGCTGGCAGTACCTGCAGTATCCGCGCTCCGTAGAAACATGTAGCCTTGCGGAACAATTCTGTACCTTGTCAGAGACGTGTATAGCCCTGTCAAAATTCGATTTGGAGCATGTAGGCGAGCTGATCGTATTAATATCGTCGCAAAAGGTAGCGGGCTATGATCAAACGCTCCTCAATACCTGCAAATGAACAAAGCGCCGCACCTACAACTCTCCGTTGTCCAGTGTCCACACATCATGACAAGCAACGGAGCAATCCATTCAGGAAAAGAAAGATCCCAATCAGGACCATGACCCGCTCGTCAAGCATGATCATATAGCCACATATGATCCTCTAGTCAAACATGATCTTCTTGCCCTTCAACAGTGTGCCACCGAGCAGTTTGCCAACTGCGTATCCAATGTAAGCGCCGGTAACGATGGTGACGGGCCACTTCTGCCATTCGCGGTCCCTGTGTTTCATTAGCTATGCCCATTGCATATACGTTGTCGGCTCCAGTCTCAACGCTGAAGTCGGTCAAGTACTCACCAATCCAAGGGGATAGGTACAGCGCCCAGCCATGCACCAAGCACGGTACCAATCAGTCCTCCGTAGACTTCATCCATCGGCAGAAGTAGCGCGATGATCTGCCTCCAAGTCTCGCCGTCTACGCCGTGTACGTATACCAAGGGAAGTGTGCTGAGCAGCGCGATGTGGGCACCAGCAAGAAGCGTGTGCATGTGATGCGTGGTGGCAGGCGCGCCGAAGAGAACGAGGGTCGCGGTGAGGAGCGGTGTTGCGGCGAGCGTGGTAAGGAGGAGAGATAAGAATGCCGGCTGTGTATCGTATAGTCAGTAACGTTTTCTTTTGGTTGGCTGTCGCGAGTCTAGTGTAGGCTGTACGAGTGGGAGTGTACACGTACGACAATCTTCGAGTTGAGTCCCTGCTCCAGCTTGCCAGGTGCCTTCCCCTTCTTCTCGCCAGGCTTTTTGTTCTTTAAGGAAGGTGTGCCTCCTGTTGGCGGAAGGCATACTGCTACGAATGCTATTTGTAGTACGGCGAGCGGCGCCAGAGTGGATAGGAGCGTCGGCACCGGGTCCGCGACCAATGCGGGAAACTTGAAGGCATAGACCGAGAGGACGAGTATCGGGTGTATATGCGTGTAAAGTCGTGCACTATCGTTCTTCAATGGCTCAATTGGCGGCGCCGTGGAGGGTTGAACCTTTGCCGTCGCGTTGGCGTTGATGACAGTTGTGCTGGCCATGTTTACGAGTGAGATGGAGGATAACGATGCACGCTGCTGTTAACGTGATGAATATGTCAATTGGCGACGCAAGGTAGTGTGAGCGGCGTCTAAAGGAGCGGAAGTGGCGCCTGGCCTGTTGGATTGCTGTAGTCGCGGGTGTTGCGGAGGTATGTCGCGCATCGGAAAGTTTCGTGATCATGTCCGTGCTGCTCGCTCATTGGTTCAACAGCGGACATCTTTCGAGCACCTCTATGGTTTGAACGAAGTGGTAGAGAAGTGTGAACGGTAATGGAATTTATTGACTGCTTATTTGTTTTGCCCTCGCTTTTGCTCATCTCGTAGCGTGTTTCTCGTGCGACATGTTTCTGGGTAGTAGCATTCCTTCAGCATCACCTTGCAGACCTTCACTGCTTCTGCCCGCCCTTCTTGGGCAACAGGTTCCTCAAAGACAGATCGTAGACAACGTCCTCCACATCCTTGACTCGGTACTTCAGTCCGTCGCTGCGGCGGCGCAAGCTATCGTTCTTGAGGTTGAGGATCTGGAAACCCGCGTGCAAGTCCTTGACGAACTGGTTGATGAGAAGCGGACGCTCGTAATCACCAAGAGTGACGGCGTTACGTGCAAGACGTGTCTGTCGTTGTCAGCGTTGATGCAGGTTAGAGCTGAGCAAGGCAACGAACCAGTTCTTCGACCAGCGTCATGAGAGAATGGAGGTACTCTTCGAGCGAGAGATGGAACTCATCGCGGTCCTTGAGGTTCACGGGGACTGGTAGAATTAGCGATGAGCATGTGCATTGTAATCTTGAACATACTCTTGAAGATCTCGCCGAGCTCCTCGATGGTCAAGAGACGGCCGCATTGCACCTCACCACCGTCGTACTTGTAACCACCGAGCCAGCCCCAGAACAAAGCGCTCTCGCACTGCCGCGTTGTCAGTATTGCGATAGCGATATCGTGTGGTTGATGAGCTTACTGCGCCCTGCATCTGACGGCTCCACATGTTGTTGAACTTGTAATACGGCATCTTGGACGCAGCCTGCGACAGGTTGCCAACGGTGTCGATCACATTTCCGATAGGCTCTTGTGCCGCTTTAAGGATGTCGGGCACTGCAGTTCGTTTAGTTGTGGTGTCACCAGACCTGTGCAGAGCGACTTACGCTCGCTGACAGGTGTCGAGTGGGCCCTAGACAACACGAATGAGACGTTGCGGTCTACATAATGTCAGTATAGTCCGCTGCTCTTGCAGAGGATACTAACTGTGCTTCTCGAGCGCTTGGATGATGTCGCGCAGCTCCTGTCGCGTCGTGAGTACGCTATCACGTGCAGCTCCATCGGCCGCCACTTACATCCCGGGTAGCAGTGTCCTCGTCTACGCGCGCCTGAAGGTCCTGGAAGATGGCCGGATTGACCATACCTGAGTTCGCTGCCATTGTGACGTGTGGTTTGGTGTTAAGGCGTTGTTGCGAGGATGTTCGTGTTAGTGGCTGAGTTGACGATTGTTTCTCACGGCAAGCTACGAAATTTTGGTCTCTCACTACTTAACGCGCAATGTTGCTTTTGATCAGCTGCAACCACGCAAACTAGACTACCACTTAGGGATTCACATGTACAGTTCGTCTTCGCGTCAAATGGGCCATATAAGTAGGTGTCACGATCGATATGCAGCGCATTCAAGGAGAGGTAACAGGCGTGCGCCACCAAATGCTGCGTGACATGGCAACCACCACCTCACTCCAAGAACTTGTAGACAACACTCCATGACAATAGTTCATGTCACGCAATGACCTTGACTAATGCTTGCTTTCAGCGACAAGATGTATATTACCGCCAAGGATTGCACAACACGAACACGGTACCGCCCTTGCTTTTACCTTCATGCAAATGGCGATTAGAGATGCCTTAGATCATGCGAGTAGATGCTTGATAACGAGGAATGGAGGGCATATCACGCTCAAGCAGTTAGTATCATATAACGGCATTGCATACAGTTCATTATGTCTTCAGTGGTCATCGGTCTCCAAAAGACTTAGCACAGTTCAATCTCGATATCAACCTTCTTCCTCAAGCGACTGGCAAGCCAGAAGTCTCAATGAAAAAGTCGCGTCTGCCAGAGGTAGTGAAATACTGGCGACACTGTGTCAAGGAAGATGAGCAAGCCCAGAGCCTCCTCGACTGGTTTCAAAAATAGGAATAATCAAGAATTCTCCCGTAGGAGAGTTTCAGAGATTAAACTGAAAAGAACAGATACTACACTTGATCTAGGAAGTGTTAGTAGATGTCAAAATGAGAGGGTAGGGTAGAGTAGACGTACCTAAGCCAAAAGGCAAAGAGAGCTAAGGAACAGAAGAGGAGGCAGAGGGAGGGCAGAGATATATACTGGCCCTGGCCTTGGCGCGCTAGACGTCACGTGAGGCTCAGTAGCGTCGCACGTACCTTTTCTGCCTGCTGGCGGGAGAACTCCGGCATCCGGGCGCCTGTAGCACATTTCCGTTGCCGGTGACAGTGAGTCTCCAGGCTCCAGTATCACGCATCACTTTTGCCTGCTCGGACGCGTCGTGCTCCTTTGCGTAGCGGCTCCCAAACTCACTTTCACCGTAAAGACACGTCATTGACTTTGCGGCGAGATCCATCCCCGATGGCCATTATGCTTCGTCTAAGGATGGCGTTGCATGAGCGTAACGAAACACGTCGCGAAGTGGCCTGATTATCCTGAGTTGGGTACAATGTCAGCGTATGCATGGTGCTTGAAGTTGCACTCCCCATGTAAGGACGGTGATGTATACGTCTGGGAAACACCTCGGTTACAACTCATTAAGAACAACCATCTTCGCATACGGGTACATTTACATTCGTCTATGCTGATAGCGCAGGAATAGCAATGCTGCCTGTAGAATACGAGAACGCTCCGCCACTCTCTCGAACGCATGCACACCGCGAGTTACTCCACGCTCCATAGCATCATGTCTCTCGCACTATAATACTACTGCGCAGCTTCCGAACCCCCATATCTCGGCGAACCCGTCCGTCTCGCGCCCCCCTGGTACACCGCATAACTTTTCGTTTAACTCGCCTTCTTCGTAAGCGTCGGCTTACCACGAACCATCTTGTACCTTATACTCAACTTGACGACGCGACGCTCCTTCATTCCAGCACTCTTCGCGCGCGTCTGGCGACCTTCCACCTCCCTTGGCTCCGCATCGACCGCATCGCTCGGCGCCACCATCGCGAGTTGTTCACGAGCGTGGAACTCGTAGCTCAAGAATCTCGCCTCTTCGCAGAACCAGTGGAAACTTGGAGCGTAGCCGGCCTTTTTTGTGGTTTTGTATTCTCGACCTTCGATGAGCGAGATGTTGTCGTAGAGGAGTTGGGTCGCCCAGCTCTCGCCATCCCATCCGACTCTCATGTTGAGAGCGGATATATTGATGCCTTCTTCCTTTGCGCGTTCGTCGGCTAGCGAACTGGGCGTCATGAGACCGGTTGCAGCGCGCTCCGATGTGGCTGCCGCGCGGCGTATACGCGGAGCGATGGCGTAGAGGAAGAGAGGACTGCGTAACAGAAAGCAGAGGTCGTCTGATGCTCGCGATTAGTTGATTGCATCTGTACTGGCCTGGCTACTTACCAAGAAGTTGTGTTCGATCGTGCGACGGTAGTCTGCCCAACGAATCGTCGAGCGAGCTCTGGAGATGGCTGCGCAACCTATCTTTGGGCTGCCCGAGACGGAGCCTTAGCTTCATCGCTCCTGTCGATTGTGTGGCGGTTGAGAAGACGGGTTGCTGGTGGTCTTTAGGCCGTGTTGTATCTGTCCCGAAGGTCGCGCTGCGTGAGAGGTCACAAGGTCGTGAATGGTGAGACTCCCGCGATAGGGAATATAAGTCGAGCCATACTTAGTGATGATATTGCCTTGGACCGCGGACCGACTTTCTCTCACTCGTCAACCCATAACAGTCCTCGTGCGCAGTGGTTAGTCATCATGGGCCTGTCGATCGTTCAAAGTGAATGTGACGACCGAACAGGCCTGCAGACTACATCACGATGGAAATATGCAAAGTAGATGACCCAACGTCAACGTAGGCTCCAGAGCGTTTAGGTTTCGGTTGAATGAGGCACCAATCTAGGAATGCTATCTGCTCGACGACCTGATAATTGGCTAGAGTGGGCTGGTAACTACCGCCATCGGCAAGGTGCCCACGGCAAGCGCTATACGGAGACTTATTACATCCTGCCACCACATATCGAACCCACGGAGTCGTCATTATGGGGCTTGCGCTACTCGACAACAGCCTCTCCAGCCTCCTTCTCCCTCGCTATACGCTCTTCCTCGTCCTTCGCACGCTCCGCCTCATCCTTCTTACGCTTCTCCTCATCCATCTCACGATAACTCTCCGCGAGCATATGCATCCTATCAAAAAGCGCCATCATTGCCTCCCTCTCACTCACGTCCGACTGACCCTTCGCCAGCGTCCACTCACCAACCAGGAAGCGCGCAACATGACCCTCCCAACGGACCGCACCAGGAATCCAGGATTCCGGTTTCAATTCCCACTTGACAGTGATTGCGATAGACTTTTGACCCTCTATCGTTGACGCATTGAATTGGGTTGGAAAATCAAAAGATTGCGCCATACTGTTCAGTGAATCGTTGGAGTCGCCGCCATCAACGAGGGTTGTTGCACCGGAATGGAGTTCTGCATCTTCGTCATTCTGCGGGCCCTCCCATGGGTAGTGCTGTAGATGTTTTCTTCCCACGTCGAGAAGATAGATGATGTCCTCTTGACTTATGTTAGTCAATCACTTCCGATGGAAGAGGTGGCACTTACTGCACCAAGGCTGGTACTCCGTAGAACTGTAGACTCCTAGCTTCTTGTCCGTTATGACGTATTCGACCTGGTTCTTGAAGTTTGGGTCGTAGTTCTTTTCGTCCATGATTACTGTAGTCTTGCTGTATTCTTGACACGGAAGAAGTCATGGACTGGCCATGAAACAGCATCTTATATGGTACATGCGTTTGACATCAAACTTCTTCAGCGATGTGGGCGACGTTCTGGCTTGCTACCTATCCGTGTCATATGAGATGGCTAGACACGTGTCGCATGTTACTGCACACATGTCGCTAAGTCATGATCGGTAGCTACCTGTTCAGGCAATGTATGCCTCTATCTTGAACTCGGTTCAATAGAATGCGATACGAAGGCTGTCCACCCCTTGTGGCGGCGCAAGATGACCTAGCGAATCACGCCTTTCCGCATGTTTGCGAAAGCTGCTTCGAGCAATCGAGCTGCATATCTGCAACATCTCGACAAGCATCACTCAAATTCAGGCAGTCTTGGATGATTGAATGGTACCGTTCATAGTTTGATACAAGCCTAGTATACATGATGATAGAGCAAATGACAGCCAACAACAATTCCTCGCGGCCAAGAGGTGAAGCACACGGCACTATTAATACAGACAGGACATGATGACAGCCTCAATGCTCACCATGAGCCACATCATTCATACTCTCGTGCCAAAGTAACAACCTTCTGGAACACCTCCAGCAGCGCATCTGCCGGTGAGGAGGTACTCCTTCCCTTGGCCAACACATACCCGTCAACAACGATGAGAACAACACTGCCCTCGAACACCGTGGCTCCACGAGAGTCCTTCTCCGCGCCCTCGTAACGTCGGATATCTAACTTGTTGCTGCAGTCCTCACGGTTCTTGGCGCTAAAGGCAGGGCGGCTGATGGAGTGCTCGAGTGATTCTGTCTGCCAGGCATGGTCGTGCATGAAGGTGGGGTTCGCGAGGAGAGCTTCAATGGCCTCTTCAACGTGTTAGCAAACATATCAACATGTTGAAGAGGGTGAGACGTACTGAGGAAAGGTGTGTAGTCTGGACCGGTGAGAAGCGGGAGACCACGGTACTTCTGGTCCGCTAGCATTGTCTGAAAAGCGTGTCGTACTGGGTTGAAAGTCATGTTTGGAGATTGAATTTGTTGGATTGGAGTGTAGATATTTGCGAGTTATGTTTCAGCGGGATCAGGCTTTTATGTGGTCGGCGGGGTGCTTGATCTGATGCCTTACTCATGTATTCGGCTTGTTGATCGTTTGCTGCTGTCACAATGGAAGATAAAACTTTGCCAATTGTAGCGGTATCATCTCGCGGCATGAAGGCGATGTCACCGTGCCCGTGGGGACCCCCTTCTGGACGTTTGGCATAGTCCGTAAAACCCACATGCAGTGGCGCGCCACACTCACAGAACGAAGAACTCGCGAATCATCTTCTGATTTCCGTTCGCATCAAGGTCCCCAATCCATGCGGCTGGTAGAAATGTCGCGGAGAAGCCACCCTTTTCGTCCATCCCAGCCTTGATTATGCAATTCCATAATCTCGCTTCTTCTACCGGCCAGCCGGTGGTTTGGTCTACTTGGGCTTCTTCCAATTCGATCGCTCGTTTGGACACCGCCACATGTTGCCCCGCATCCCAAAGGCCCTCGCGTGGTGGGTTACGTTCTAGAAGAGCTACTGCCTTTCGTCGGGTAACAGGACAGCGGCATCGAGTTGCGACAAAATAGAGCTGAGGAATTATCGCAATGTCGAAAGTGAAGTGAGCGGTGTTGGGGTTCGTGGGCGGCCTCGAGTCGATGATTGCTTGGGCATGATGCAGGATCTTCTTGAAGTGATCTAGATAGTTGTCGTATGTCTTCTCGATGACTGTTGCTGAGCATGATACGTAAACAAACGTCGTGTGATACGAAACCTTGAGGGCGTTCGCAGCCATTAATTCATCGTTCGAGAGCGCATGATGCTTCTCGAAGCGCTGCATGTTCTCGTACCAGAGATGATGGCACGCCAACAGATTGTCGCGTTCTCGATACAGTTCAAGACTAGGATCCTGCAGAACGAGTGATCTTCTTCCCATAATATACAGATGAGTTATAGATGCATTGCGAAGCTCGAAGTAGGCCTGGTGCGCCTCGGAGAGACTCGCATATGAGCGCTTGGAGTACGAAGCAGGCATCACTTGCAATATCTCCAAATCTTCCTGAATGCTGGCGCCATAAAGCAAAGCTTGCGCCATGCCGCGGGTGAAGATGGACACCAACTTGTATTCTGTTGAGCTTCTCGAAGGTCCGGACCCATCCAATGCTACCTTTGGGGGATACGTGGTTTGTAATGAGCCCCGGTAGTTCGGTAGTGCCATGCGGGGCGCGTACATTAGTTTGAATCCGTTCCTCAAATGGGTGAAGGCGGCATGGTAGTTGCCTTGGAGGAACTCAATGCAGACGAAAAGAAGACAGAGAACGAGTCCAAGCTCCGGCGAGTAAGTGGCATCGCTCATTCGATTGACTAAGCAGCCAATGGACTTGTTGTAATGAGATAACATGACCTTGCGCTCATGATTGGCAATGAAGCCCGCGCATGCATGCTTCATATCTCCAGGCTCGGCTTGGCAAAGAGCTCCTAGAGCTATCACGGCATGGCGAACGGCTGGTTCCGAGTGAGCCATCTGCAGTACGATGCGAGACCAGAATTCTTTGTCGAAGTTGGTGGAGAGTGCAGGGCAGGCGCAATGGTAGTAGAAGTCCAGATAGCGTGCACTATCTCCAAGGCCACTGAAGGCAGAGATGGCGTTCTGTGGATCGGAGGCTCGTCCATGAGTCCAGACATGAACTTGGAACTTCGCGTCGTTTGTAGTGTAACCATCGCATTTGCGGCCAGTACATACACACCTGACAGCATTAGCTCACGGAATGATCCGCGAGAACGGGGAGTCAATGCTTACTTGAGGCATTCTGGCTTCTTCTCATCACATTTGACGCGTCGCACTCTGGAATCGATGTGTCAGCCTTTTGTCACATGCAAAGGTGTCCGCTGCGTACTTGCACGTCTTGCAGCCTGTCTTCACTTTTGGAGCCCGTCTGCGGGCTTGGAAAGACGCCTCGCTCGTCGAAGACATCCTGGATGCAGGCCAGAGATGGCGATAAGAGTACTGCGTGACTGCATGATGGAGACGCGTGAGGATAGTCGGATAAGATACGCGACGAAGGTGCGAGTGTGGCGGACGGAAGACGGCCAATCATGACATCAGCGCCCGGAAAACATCACGTGCTTTTACGAGCCGACCAATCGTAAGATGTTAAACCCGCAGATGTCTAACTACCTTATACAAGATTTTAAGCAAAGCTAGAGCTAAGATTATTAATTAAATCTACTTATAAGCTTCTAATAGTTTTTCTTTATTACTTTTAACTTACTTATAAGCTTTTTTATAAAATTTTATTTACTAAATAAATATAATTATTTTTTTATTTTACTTTTATACTTATAATACTTTTTAAGTATTTTTTAGTATAAATAATAGTACTAGTAAATAGTATATAACTAAGTTTATATAAATAAGTTATATAAAGTAATTAAAAGTAGAGTTAGTAGTATAAAAGTATTTTATTTAAGTTTTATTAAATTACTTAAAATTAAGTTCTTAGCTTATATAGTAGTACTAGTAAACTATATTATTATAGTAAGTATATTAAAGCTTAGTTTTAGCTTATATAATTTATACTATTATATAGCTATTATAAAGTAAGTTTTACTTAAGTTAGTTTAAGTTTATATAAAAAAGCTAATTTTAATATACTATAGCTACTATATTTATAGTAGTTTATATAAGTAAGAATTTATAAGTAAAAATTTTAGCTACTTATACTTTATTTTAGCTAAGTAGTAGTAGTAATATAACTAATAGTTACTTTAAGTAGTATACTAGTTTTTAGTAAAGAGAGCTAATAATAACCTTAGCAAAAGAAGCTAAATAGGTCTAGAGCGTACATTAACGCTAGGCTACCTATCTTGTATGCTTTTATGTTAATGTAGGCTGCAGGCCTGTTTAGATTTTTTCTTGGTTGACGTGCGACGACGTTGCAGATCAGGCGCGCAACGACTGGCATAGCGAAGTGCAGCATCCAGATAAGGCATTGTATCTTTTCGTCGACAGGATATGTGGCTGTGCTTACATACAGCTATGTACATGCCCGCGCGCTCCCATGCCAGCTACTGAGTCGAAACTACCTAAGATACCTAGGTAGCTTACAAGATGTCGCCGCGCTGAGCCTACATCGACGCTACGCCTTGCCATTTGCTTCTCATCATCCTATCGTAGGCTGCACGCTTCTCCAGTTTCTTCAGTTTCTTCCCTGTCTGAGGAGCACCAACCGCTCCAGCATCTTTTTCCTACCGCTAAATGTTTGGAGATTTGGCGAGGATCATTGCATGCAACCCCAGAGCGGCCTTCTCAAAACCGTCCTTGGCCAATCCGTAGACCTCCTCGTCTACCAACGGGTCATTTCCCTCCTTCTCGCAGAGGTCGCCCTTGAGAACGATCGTGGGGGCCCCAGTGCGGCCGCGTTCCGGATGGACGGCCAAACACATATAGCTACGTCTACCCTCATGTCCTATGAACATGCAGAGTTGCCAGAGTGACTGTATACCATTAGGACCGAAGATACCGTGTACCCCAAGGTTGATGATATAGTCGGACAGATAATCTGGAGAAATCCTGAGTCAGCGGAGGAGAAACCACGTGGTGCAGTGGGAAAGAGAACTTACAGACTAGACGATGCATTGCGTCCGGATTCTCCGCCCACCAGATAGCCAAGATATCTCGGAGGACCAGATATATGCGATCGTAGAGCATCTCGCGAGTGAGACGTTCGAGCGGCTCGCGATAGATCTGCGGCACATACGGTCCTGGCGATGGCTCTGGGGATGGTGACTTCGACTGTGTACCAATGACGGGCATGTGACCTGTCGGTGGCGCATACGGCGGAGATGGCGACTTCGACTGCGTACCGATAATGGGTATGTGACCTGTCGGCGGAGCATACGGCGGGGAAGGTGACTTCGACTGTGTACCAATGATGGGCAGGGGAGGTTTCGGCGGA